TTTTTTTTTTTTTTTTTTTTTGCGGTGTTGAGGTGTTCAGAACCCTCCCCGTGTCCTCCCTCAATCATTATATCTTAGTTACAGGTAGGTACTTATAGATTCTAACTATGATCCCGAATGTAAGAAGACCTTTCAACAGCCAACACTCTAATACCCCGTCCACACTACGCTGGAGAAATTTGAAAACGCAGCTTTATTTCTACGCTTTGACCAACCGTCCACACTAATACGCCGCGAAAACTGAGATTTCCGAAAACGCTCTTCAAACAGGAAGAATTTGATAACGGCGGATTTTTCGTTTTGCGGGGAGGGAAAACATTTTGAAAACGGAGCTTTTCGAAAACGATGTAGTCACTATAATCATTTGATATCCCTGCCCGGGTATTCCTCAAACACAAATCCAGACTGACCGGTTATTGTTGAGTTTTAAAATTCCTGCGGCGTAGTGTGGACGGAAAACATTTGATGCGTTTTCAGAGTGAATTAAACCTCCGTTTTCAAATTTCTCCGGTGTTGTGTAGACAGGGCCTAAAAGCCAGTCTAAAATTTTGTATAAAAAACGCACGTGCAATTAAATTGCACATTTGTTTGAGCTAGATAATTTGTATAGGAAATTCAAAAGCCCCGGCCAAACGATCGCAACATTTCAACGCAACATACCGCCCTGTTGCGTCATGTTGGGACATGTTGTGTGTCGTTGACTCAAGTTTGAAAATGATCAAATTTTTGATGCAACATTTGAGGATGTTGCCTGATTTTGTACTCGTTTGACCAGGTTCGATTCGTGCAAGAATGTTGCCGATATTTGTTTTGAGATGTAAGCCCACAGAATGTAACTGAAGACTTCGCAGCTGAAATGTTTGAAAAATTCAACAGGAAGAAATTATACTTCAAGCAAACCCGAGTCTTAGCATTAGGTCGTCAGAATGCTACAGTTTGGTGGCAGAAAAGCTTATAAAGGAAAAAAAAAACTCTTTTGTCGTATCGAAATGCGCTGCTCTTTTTCAACGAAACTTCCGTATTGTATATCTGATCGAGAAAAGGGTCACCTTTTGTAAGACACGCCATTAAACTGAGTAAACAAACCTGCAGTATCGGAAATGAACACAGGAAATTTACATTACAATTATGTTGTTGTGCGTTACCTGTAGTCACCAGTTATTTTTACATCTAAATTGGTTGCCAGGACGATGGTAATAAAGTCGAAAATTCAGTCTAGACAGGAGGGATTTGATGGGATATTTGCAGAACCTCTCCATGTTATAGAACAGAAGCGGATGCTCAGCTCCAAGTTTCACAAAAACTGACAAAACTGAATGTGGAAGCACGGGGGCTCATGGTTAGTGCGCTCGCCTCCGGATCGAAGACCGCGGACGGTCCGGTCCGACTTGTGTTGTGTTCTTGGGCAAGACACTTCACTATCACAGTGCTTCTTTCCATCCAGATGTATAAATGGATACCGGCGAAATTTATGCTGGGTGTAACCCTGCGATGAATTAGCATCCCATCCAAGGGAAAGTGGAAATACTCCTGGTCGCTTCACGCTACAGAAACAGGGGTAAGCGCCGGCCTGATCGGCCACTTGGCTCGTGTATAGAATTAAACCTTTTGTAGGGTGCATAGTGTCCATCAAAACGAACATGCATCGACTTGTTTCACGTTTTGTTTTGCTACAATTCTGCTCAACATCGTAGTAACATGCGACTTTCGGAAAAACCTCTAACGCTGATACTGGGTAACCGTTGGTTAATAGATTTGAACGATTTTCGCAAAATTTAGTTCGGTTCAGCAAATCGCGAGGTCTCGCCTTCTCCATAGTTCCCGCCAAAATAAGCAACAAACATAACACTTACTGAATAAGTCTCGACGCCAACCTCCCGTCCCTTCAAATAAAATGAGTGGGATCATTATTCTCAAAATGAAAAGTGGAAATCTATTTTTAAGTTGCAAGGCAACTCGGTGGGACCGGAAACTTGTCGCAGACGAATATTTACACAAACAGCCGTCAAACGCCGTCAGGTGGAAAAAGATACCTGTGCAGCGATGTTTAGCTCAGGAAAGGTTATAAATAAAGAAATGAGATTATCTCCTTTTATTTTTTGTCTGAATATTCTTCTTCAGTTGAACCTTGGATCTGATCGCTGAGAACACATATTTTCAAGGCAAGAAAAACGAAACGGCCTCGTCGGAAAATAAAGTTTCAAAACGTAAACTGAACATGACCTTGTACTAATGAACAAGAGAAAGAATACAAAATATGGCATATGACTGGATTTTTACTAACAGCTCAGTTACTACCGTTTGTTCTTCCGTTGAGTCAATTTAGATGCGCCTGAATTTATTGACCTCGATATAGCAAAGAAATTCCCCGACGAGATTTTTATTCAGTCTTAACAGGATATCTTTTGATTTAAGTTAATATTTGTCTCTGGATTATTTTATTTCATCATAATTGGATCAACTGACTAATTTTGCCCTAAAAGTATGCAAAAGTCACGAGCTAAAAAGAACATTTACCATCTTTATACACTTATTAAAACAATAAATTACAGTATTTTCCCCTCTTTTCACCCTTTGAAATACATGCATTTTTGTAGCGGCGTATTTTAGTTTTGTTCAGTAGCAAAACGCTGGAGCCTTTAATCTATTTTTTTTCTGGATCACGAGCCGGGTGGAACATTTTTGTCATTCTTGGACACCTTAACTTGTTCTGTCTTTTTCCATCGAATTTATTAGCGGCTTATCGGCCAACTACATTTCAGGAACCCCGTCACGGCATTTTGAGTTATTTTGGTCACGTATAAAATTACCTTTAAATTGAAGGAAACCCGAAAATAGTAGTTTACTAAGATAAAAAAAACAAACAAACAAACAAACAAAGAGATAATAACGAACCATAACGGAACAAGGATGGTTAAGGATGGAGAAGATTAACGCGGATTGTAAACGACAAACTTGAAAAATTTTAAGATAGGCAAACCATGACTTGGCTCCATAATACACCACAGTGATATTTTTGTTAGCCCGTAGTAGACAGCACCACGAAACTAAATTGAATAAAATGTCTATACAGAATGCCTGCTCAAGTTGCCAGAAAAAAATAAACATTTGTCTTATTTACGATTAGGTCTCTCCGGTTGCCCTGTAAGCATGTTGTTAATTCTGGTTGGTTTCGTTATAGCCATCACTTTCTTCCAAAGCGGTACCGTTTGTAATGAAAGAAACAGATGGGTGTGGTTATGTCGCCTTTGGTACTTTGCCAAACTAAATGTAAGTGCTCCACTTGAAATCCGCCCATTTTCCCGGCTCTTGGGCACCGAAATTGTTATGCCATTTATTTGTTGACAATTGCATTTCGTTATTCGCGAGGTTTGCATTCCTAACCTCGAAGTACACGCCAAAAGTCCACACCCATATGCAGATAAACACATACCGCGATCTATTTGTTATTTTAAGATAAGAATAGCCATTTTTTTCTTTCTTCCTCAGCGTCCCAGTTTGTTTGTAAAAACCTTGCGATGTAAAACAGATGCTACCATTTGATGCTGCTAAATACCTCCTCTTGACCGAGAAAGTTTGCTCCTTCATTGAAGAAAGATCAGTTTTCTCGGGGTTAAAAATGGTGTCCTAAAATCCCCCGTTTTGTTTCCCTACTTCACAAGACTTGAGTGACATCGAGTCAGTTGTAAGAGATTTTCTTGACGTTAAGTTTCATTTTCTCCTTGGTGCGCGCGCGTGTTTGAAAGGCCAGCCCCGCAAATAACTAAAAACAACAATGTGAATTCTGACCTTGTCTACACGTTTGGCTCATCTCAAGGGCTTTCCTTTGATTTAACATTGTGGGATTGTTGAAACCCAAAATATTTTGCGTAAAGAAACACGATCCTGAATAATTCAAAGCCGATTTAAAACTGGCGTGCACCTTAGAAGCTTAAGCAAGATTAGCAGCGTTAGTTCTGCTGTCATCCGGTGGTTAGGACAATACACAAAAGTACATTTCATTTTGGACCTGGAGAATCATCTGATGAACATGGGTAAGTGAATCAATCATTCATTTCTCGTTCAGTTGCTTTAATTGGCATAACTCCACCAATATGATCTGTATTAGGAGTTGCGTGGGATTATTTCGAATCACATGTTTTTTCCGGAAGGAATTTGAATGTTAATTGCAAGTCAAAAATTGATATTCCAAGCCATTCTATAAAACCAGAACGTATGCCGTTCAAAATATTATCTTCAGAATCATCGATGACAAAGATAAATTTTAGATTGATCGCTTCACAATGAGGCAAAGATATCTGAACTGAAATTGGCAGTGACACGGTAATCTATTTTTAGCATGGAGGCTCCAGTAGAGAGCCAGTTCCAGACTCAAATCCTGACAATAATGATTTGACTATTTCGGAACAATACTTCATGAATATACTAGCCTATGGCATGAAGAAGATGGCAAAATGTCAGCAGAGGAATACGTTAACTGAGCACCGATTCCTTTAAATTCTGGAGCCGTCTTGTTTAATGCAACAAAATGATTTTATGGAATTTCATTTTTTAATCCAATTTAAAAAAATTTATCCGACGATTATTCTATTCTCAAGCATAAGTTCCTCTCTGGAGTTGAGACAACGTTAATTTCGCCTGACTAGCCAAAGAATCAACCCTGTGTACATTGTACGTTAGAGAAACCGATAGCTGCTCAAAAAGGTGAAAACGAAAAAAAATTTACTCCAGCCAATCTGATAACTAATGATTAATTAGAAGCTGATAAATTACTCAGTTCTTGCAAAACAGGAAAAGAAACTAATCGAAGCAACCTGCATGAAAAGATAGGTTTTTCGTTTTATACTGTTGAGGTCCTACAAAACTTTTTAAAAATTAATAATTGAGGGTTAATTGAAAGAATGACCGATTTCTTGATTGCCCGATTGGTTGATTGATTAATTGATTAAATGATTCTTGATTAAAATCCGTTCAGATTGTGACGCCCTTTCATCATTCGGTGTGTATCGGAGATTGAAGCAAACAGCCATCGCAGCACTCAGCCGGTACAAAGTCACCTGCGAGAGGCCAAAAGTAGATATATTTTACCCTCTGTTTTGTTGAGACGCGGGAATTTTCTCGTCTTAGCTGTCTTCAAATTGTAAAAAAGAACAGGGATGCCCGTGGGTGACACCTGCGCAATAAAACCAGTCTAAAATCGAGTGAATGGCGTCGGTTTAACTTAAACAGAGTGCGCATGCACCGTTGTGGCTATGTTGTAAGCGAACAGTAAATGACAGCTGCAGGAATGTCTGACTGAATAAGAACGCAGGCGCGGCTATGAATTCTTTCGTTTCTTCATATGGCAGGGTTCCGCAATGCGGTGGAAACGAATGCTTCTTTCAGTGTACATCAGTGCTATTTTCATGTTTACGATATACTTTGCTCATCTAGCCTACAGGGACGATAATGCTCTATTGAGAGATTTGTTTATATTAGGTGATAACGACAATGACGATAAACAGATAGGGGAGGAAAAGCCGAAAGAACTGAAGATCTGTGCACAATGTGGCGAAAAGATCGAAGGGAAGTTTTTGCTGCGAGCTTTGGACCAGTTTTGGCATGAAGAGTGTCTGAAATGTTCCTACTGCAGCACACAGCTGGCCGACTTGAGCTCCAAGTTTTACCACAAAGGAGATTTAATACTTTGTAAACGAGACTACATCAGGTGAGACTTTCTCCTCTTAATAAAAATAAAAAAATGCTTTTTAATTAGGCAAATTAGGCATAAGATGGCTAGCGCGAATCCAAATATGAAACTTCACTAGCTTTTTGTCGGTGCCGTTTTTCACAGTCATTGGATTTCAGGGCATTATGAAAACTCCACAGGAACTATTCAACAAAATCACCCAACACGGCTTGGAAAAAGGTGGCCGTATGTTTAGGTAGCGAAAATCCCGAGTTTCTTATGAAACACAGACATGGATTATTATTCAAAGATGTTACTAGATTAAGAGCTTCCGAATACGATCAGAGGTTGACCCAAGCAAGCAGCGACTGATGTTTATATAAGGTTTGAAGATAAGTTGATATCAAACGAGCTAGAAAACTCGTCACATTAATTATGCGGCCAAAGAAACTTGTTGACGGACCATTCCTTTTAAATATCTCGTCGTTAATAATCTATAGCTGCTGTTATCCATTTTTCGCCACATTTACCGTTGTAGAGCATCAACGAGCGCTGGCTTACAGGAAGTTGTGTGCAATTTGACATACAGACGGATTGCTCTGTATTAGCGAAAGCCATCGCTCGTGCCTCGTCATAAGACGTACTAAAGTAGATTGTTTAGTCTGAGCAGATAATCTTGCGTTCGACCCCCTTTTCATATCAATGTCTGCATACAGCTATTTCAACCAGCGTTGGCCCACGTCACTAGACTGAATGGTACTGAACGGGTAAAAGTGAAAAACCGTTACACGCGCCGAACTAAATGAAATTTAAAACATTTTTTGTATTATTCTAAAGCACGTGAGAACGAGCTATGGTCAGCCAGTTGCTAAAAATTAGAAATTTCCAAAACCTCAAAGCAATACAAAAAGAAAAGAGATCTGACGAGAGTGACACAGTGCATTTCTCTTCTCCTTCGCTGCGCCAAATTCTAATCGGTAATTCTGTTGTAGACTTGCTGTTAATCTTGTTCAGTTACTATTTCACTGTAGTCTTTAACGCTTCTACCGATCAATAACTTTTTTGAAACAGCTGTGTTCAAGTAACATTAGAAGTATGGCTCACTGACGTACACTTATACGGCCGCAGTGTTTTTTCATATTAAATTCTCCATGAACCTTTTATCGTCGAAATAAACTTTGATTTATTCACCGGTCATAGGATTATGTCAGTTAACAGGTTAATAATAAGGGTAACTGAATTAGGCAATTTAATGGACAACGATTAATTTTGGCGAAAAAAGTTGCATTGCTTGCTGGAAGGTAAACGAAAAAATATCGGTTGGAAACGATAAGCGTGTAAAAATACAGCCAAATTCCTTTTTTTTTTTTTCCATTTTCTTTTGATAAGATAATAATAGGGACGATTTCCTTGTCATAACATTATTGAAATTTTTGATTTTTTTTTTAGATTATAACCACACACAGCGTTTCAAAGTACGATGTGACCTTGACTGAAAAATGGTCGAATATAAAACAAGTTTTAGAGGCTTGTGGATACTTAGCACGCGGTGTTATTTTGATAATCTCGTAGCACTGCTTGAGCTAAAACCTTTTCAATGTCAGACGCGCTTACAGGTTGAATCGGGCCAGTCTGTGACTTCGATTGAAACAGCCTTTGAGAAGTTCTTTAATTTTATTTGCAAATTGTGGTTGTTACGTTTGTGTCTGTCATGATAAAAGCTTAGTGTATGACCTTTAAATAAAAGCTATTGAGCAGTGCTTCCATGTGGCACTGTTTATTGTGCTGCACCACGTGTTGAGAGCTTTTGAGTCTGCGGATAAAACCCTAGTGTGTGACCATTCAAACAAAACCTCTGGAGCAGTTCTTTCACATGGTATTGTTTATTGTGCTGCGCAAGAAGGCTCTTGCTTTTACGTTTCTGGTTGCAGGAAACACTAGTTAGGATGCCAGTATTCAAGCTTTTTAGCGCACGGTTCTGCTTATATTGCATTGCTAATTCTTTCTCTTCTTACTTTTAATTCTGTCATTAAGAACACGGCTTGTCAGACCAATCCAATAACGAACTTAGTTCATTTCGTGTTGTTCATTATTTTGTACATCGTGTTTTAAGTACCTGTTATCAATTAACAAGCGTGGGAGTTTTCATTCTCTTGAACAATAGGGGTTAATTCAGAGATGAACATGATAAGAACATCGTGTGTGGTTCGATAAAGAGAGTTGGATAGGGGCTTAAATATTGTTTGTTGTTATGAATTATTGATAATTACAACCAAATTCTTTTCAGAGGCAAGTCACTGTTTTGATATATAGTGCTTACGTCTGTACCACCTAACAGCTCACAATACTAATCGGTATAACAAATGTATGGCGATCAGAAATAAGAATGACAACATTGCAATTGAAACAGGAAGCAGGCTAAGAGCTAATACTTGAAAGTGGAATCTCGAGCCCTTGTAATTAGCCTCCCTAGTTTCCTAGCAGTATAAACCATTCCATGTTTGCACTTGTTTATCACTGTTATACATTTTTGTTGCAGCTTATACATTCCAGTTTTATAGACCTATTTTTACAATTCAGAAACAAACCTGGATATCTTGTCATGTACGGATTATGCTGGCATGGCTCCCGGGTTTACCTCGTTGAGCGCACAGCGCGAGTGCAACGTACCGATACGGTAGAGGTATACAACTCTAACATCTGATTGGTTCAATTCTCCCTCGCGACACAACAGACTTTATCCGCACTAGGTTTCAAACCTCAGTGGGGTCCTCGGCGTTGACTATTCATTATATCATATATATAAAAACCTCACTCGGTATAATAATTGCTCGCTGTCTCTGATTACTCTTGCTTTTATTAACACCATTGACCTAGCTTTGTTTAGATTGGGCATTTCAAATTAGAGGCTAGAAAAAGTGCGGGAAATAGCGATCACCCGATCACTTCTCAAAAATAAACAAAAAAATAGGGTGAAGGGTTGACTACCAGATTAAGCATTGTAGATGGAAGCTCCTACGGCCGCGATCACGGAAAAAGCTACGCACACTCCGAAGGTATTGGCCGTTTAAAATCTTTTTTTCTTTTGCACTAGGGCGTCTCGTTTTAAAGAAACTAGACAGATGATACGTCAAGACGAACTATCTGCTTTAGCGTGTCTTGAACGATGAACTTAGAGAAGAAAATGGCTAAGATAGATAATCCATCCGTGTATATAAGGCACATATCAGACGAATTATGCATTGGGGTGGTTATGCTTCACAGTTTATATAGAGGCAGCAGAGGACGTAAAATTGGTCAAAGCAAACTATCTGCTTTTGAATTTAGTGGGCGACGAACTCAGGGCTTAGAGCGCCTGATAGTTCGTTCAGTTCGTTTTCCGTTTTTCTTTTTCCGTTTCGTGTAAAACAACAAACACATAATTCATCTGGACGGCTTATGCATCTCTAGTTTTAAAAGGGCTATTATAGCTGTCTGTTCAGCCAATAGATTTCGAGCTTGCCAATGGCCAGCCAGCGGGTTTTACTTCTATTTACTATTACTTAGCTTTTAAGTCCTTTAACTCTCTGCGGCTTTGTGTTTTCCTCATTACAGGCTGTTTGGTGCCACTGGAATTTGTTCACATTGCTCCAAGNTTTTTTTAACCATCATGACAGCTCTCTAGGCCGTCATGTAAATGCCGCGTCACGCAAAAGCTTAGAAATTCAAGCGTAGTTTATCACAAAACCAAGAGCCCATTTGGAGCGAAAATTTGTATGAGTATTAGTTTTCAGCTGCTCTCATACATCATTTAAGTAAAATCTCAGGAAGATCAATAGTTTTGTAGTTCGAATGTTAGTGACGTCATGTGAAAACCAGCTATTGGTTCAATTCTCCCTCGCGGCACAACAGACTTTATCTTCACTAGGTTTCAAACCTCAGTGGTGTCCTCGGCGTGGACTATTCATTATATCATAAAAACCTCATTCAATATAATGATTGCTCGGTTTCTCTGATTACTCTTGCTTTTAGTAATACCATTGACCTAGCTTTGTTTAGATTGGGCATTTCAAATTAGAGGCTAGAAAACGTCCGGGAACAGCGATCAGCCGATCACTTTTCAAAAATAAATAATAATAATAAAAAAAGATAGGGTGAAGGGTTGACTACCAGATTAAGCATTGCAAATGGAAGCTCCATGTAATATGCTCCGACCGCTACGATCACGGAAAAAGCCACGTACACTCCGAAGGTATTGGCCGTTTAAAATCTTTTTTTTTTTAAAGGTTTAAAACCCAAAGTTTGTTTAGTGCGTCTCGTTTTAAAGAAACTAGTCAAATGATACGTCAAGACGAACAATCTGCTTTAGCGTGTCTTGAAAGACGAACTTAGAGAAGAAAATGGTTAAGATAGATAATCCTCCGTGCAAAGACACACATGAGACGAATTATGCATTGGGGTGGTTATAGACAGCAGATGACGGAAAATACGTCAAAACAAACTATTTGCTTTTGAATTTAGTGGGCGTTTTCCGTTTTTCTTTTTCCGTGTCGTATAAAACAGCAAATACATAATTCATCTGGACGGCTTATGCATCTCTAGTTTTAAAAGGGCTATTATAGCTGTCTGTTCAGCCAACAGATTTCGAGCTTTCCAATGGCCAGCCAGTGGGTTTTACTTCTATTTACTATTGCTTATCTTTTAAGTCCTTTAACTCTCTGCGGCTTTGTGTTTTCCTCATTACAGGCTGTTTGGTGCCACTGGAATTTGTTCACATTGCTCCAAGACAATACCACCGCTGGAAATGGTCATGCAGGCTCGTGAACATATCTACCATTCTGACTGCTTCGCTGGTCAAGTTTGCCAGTACAGATTCTCCGTTGGAGACAAGTTTTTCCTTCACTTCCATGTAGTCCTGTATGAGGCTGATTACTATGACGTCACAAGTATTTTCCAGCAAATTCCTTACTACATGTGACATCTTGAATTAATAAATGCATATTTGAATCCGAGGCCATTTTTGAAATTTTGTAAACTCTTTGCAGGAGAACGAGAATCGGGTTGAGCTTGAAATGATATGCTGTATTGCTGCTTTTCAGTGTCACGCAATTCAGAATAGATCAAAATAAAAAACAAAACCGGTCAATAGATAAAGTCCAGAATCTGGGAAATGAAAGAAGGTAAATATGCAAAGGCTCTCGCCAAAATTCTG